GGGGGCGGGGCCGGGGCCCACCGCTCACCCCGCCCACCTCCCGCCCCGCCCCGCCCCGCCCGCGCGTGCGCATTGCCGTCCTTCCGCGGCCGGGCGCCCCGAGCGGAGAACAAAAGTGACAGTGTGAAGGGGCGCAAAATCTGAACCCGCTCAGGCTGCGCGCGCCCACCACGTCCTCCTCTGCTTCCGCGGCCGATCCACACGAGAACAGGATGCCTATTCCCTGCTGCCCGGCGCCCGGCTGGACTTCTGGGCTAAGGACACTTTGCCATGGAAGGGACATTTTTTTTCCCCAGAGTCTTCTATCCTGGCTGGCTCTGCACCTTTTCTTCCTTTCCCCTCTTCTGTTTCGTTTTAAGCGTCTTCCGACCACTCCTGATTCAGTGCTGCGACTTAGAAGACAAAATTAGTCTTGTCGCCAGAGTCCCTCCCCCTAGCCTAATGGCCACCGTGCTGCTTAAACAGTATGAAAATTGATCTCTTCGCTCTTCCTTTCATTACTTTTTTTTTTTTACACTCACAATTAAACTCTCAACAGCTGTCACCGGACTTTTTAAGACAGTTGTTAAAAATCGTGAACATGCCTGGTCAATGTGACAAAATAATTCTAGCTACAGCTGTACAGGTCGCATTTCCAAACTCCCAGCCACAGCCCCAGGACGTTACTGTCGAATCCACACCGCCACCCTGGAGTTACTGAGCCCCGCAGTTTGTGTCCTAGACAGTACTCTGCGCCCTGTCGTTAGCTCACTGGTGTGTGTGAAACACGCTGTGTAAAAGGCTTCGATCCTATTTCAAAGAAAATGTTTGAACTGATAAACTAACTCTCCTCCGTCCTCCAGTGCACAGGAAGATTCCTAGGCACGTGCACGGGGATCGCCCCTTTCAGCAGAGGCCAGTACCACTCGAGGTTCCCCTGTGGTCACAGAAATCAGTGGACCCCTCCCCCCAGCCCACAGTGGTGTTCTGCCTCTGCTGGGACATTTGTCACAGACGACTTATGTGGAGTCCTCCGAATAGAGAGGGTCGATTATCCTCTCCCAGGACCTAGACTTCAGGAAGTTTTCAGAGCTGTTACTGACTGCAACAGGAACACGTTTTCTAGGCCGTTACATTCCCCTTAGTGTTTCCTGCGCAGCACAGAAGGACAGACCAGGTGCCTGACAGGGCTCACGCTCCGGCTTCTGGGATCAGCCCAGGTCCTGGGGGGTGTCTCTCCCTACTTCCTGTTTCTTTGGTTTTGTTGTGTTTGTTACCCTTCTGGGGATGGAAGGGAGGGCATTTCAAGTGCCAGGCCAGCCTTTGGCCATGGAGCTACACCCCCTACCACTTTTTGCAGGGCACTTACCTGGGAAAGTGGTCTGCCCTGGGGACCTGTCATCTCTGTGTCACTTGTATATTGGTAAAAATTCAGGTAATTTCATTATCTTTTTAAAAAATATTTATTTATTTATTTAGTGTGTGGCCAGCTCAGCCCACCAGGGGGCGGGTGGGCCAGCATGTGGTGCTGGGGGATTAAACCGAGGTCTCTGTGCTTTGCTTGAGCTTAGCTTGTTCTAAGTAGGTGCTTTAGACCACTGAGCCATCTCACCCAGCCCCTGGGTGATTAAATACACAGGGAGGACCTTGTAGTCACCCTGGACCATGGGGACCCTGCAAATGCTGGCTAGAGGAAGGCAGTAAGGCGCTCTTGGTAACACTCAACAGTTCCCTGTGCAAATTTTTGTTAACTCGTGTGGGCTTTTGCGACAGTCACCTGCCCAAACTATTTCTTCTGTCGCTGTTACCTGCCTCCTGCCACCAGGCCCCCTGCCTTGGCCTGGGCTGCACCTCCCCCTGGAATACCGTTTCCCTTATCACTCACTTTTAAGTTCTTCCCTTTCCTCCAGGACTCAGCCCAAGTGCCTTTTGGGAGACACTTCCCCTCCTTTCTTGATGGCTATTCCTCATCCCCGGAGGTCACCACACAGCACTGATGTGGCAGTGGGGCCGCACATCTTCCAATGAAGATGAGTGCTGTTTCCTGATCTCCAGAGCCTCAGCCAAGTGGAGCATGTGGACTGTGGCAGAACACGGGGCAGTGTGATGGGGAGGGAGGGAGCCGGCTCCCCAGGGAACCGAGAGCTGCATTCTGGGTAGGAGCAGCTCTGTGGAAAACTTCAGTTGTCACATGCCTGCCACACACCTCTGGCTTGACCTGCCCATTGGGAAGGGCCAGCCCTCAGCCTGGCCTCTACAACAGGGCAATCCCGTGGGCCCCTGGAAGGCCTGGCTGCTCCCCATCTCTGGCTTGTGAGTGAGGGAGTGTATCGCAGCTCAGCTCTGGCCCCCAGTGGCCTACCAAGGGTTTGGAAACACAGAAACCCAGGGGATGGACACTGCGTGGTACGAACTTGGGCCACTTGGAGGATTCAGGGCCCAGCCGGAAAGTCTGTGCCTCCCAAGGCTGCCTGGAGTGGCCCGGGCACTGTAGAACCCCTTGTTCCTGGCCCTAGCAACCAGCAGCGCCCTCAGGCTGTTCTAACTCCCCGGCTTCCCCCTGCTGCCCATACTGGCTGTACCCCAGTAGACGCACGCATTGTTTCCCCTGTTCTCTCCAGAACGCTTGACTGAGATGGGGAGCAGTGAGCTCTTGTCTTACCGGCTGTTACCAGCATGGAGGAGCTGTGGTCTCTAGAGGCCCACAGCTGGCTGGGAAGAGCCCCAAGTGCAGAGGAACATGCTTGGGCTAAAAACTGGGTTTTCAGTCTCTCTCTGCATGAAAGGCCTCAGCGAACCATGAGAAAGGACCCCCGAGGCCGCACAGCAGGTGTGGATTTGCACACATGGGGTGTGAGACACCCAGGGAAGAGGGTCATGGGGTAGAGAGGAATCCTGCAGAGAGCCGGGTGTGGGAGTGTCCTCACACAGAGGCCCTGTACCAAAACGCACATGTGAGGGGACCATGCGGCAGCCAAGAGGGGTCCGGGAGGCAGCAGTCACAGACTGGAGCAGGGTCTTGCAAAAATCATTACACTCCATCCAAGCTTTCCTCAGGCCTACAAAACAAGGCCTGGCACGCAGGTCTGGAGCTCCCATTGTACAGGTCAGAAAACTGATGTCCAGGACATGCACGGTGTTATTTAATGGGGCTGAGCGTTCAGACTAAGGAGGAGACAACAGGACATAGGCTTGGGCTCCTCCACTTGGGCCAGCAGGCCTTTGAACACAAGACTAAAGACAGATTCGTTTCCAGTGAGGAAAAGGACTTCTGGTTGAAGAAACAGCAGAAGCCAAGATCCTGAGGTTGGCTGTATCGGGGACCTTTGGGGACTTGTGTTGTGTCACTGGTGGAGAAAGAACAATAGGACAGAAAGGACCCTGGTACTGGATGCCAAGGGCCTACAACACTGTGCTGGAGTTTTCAGTGTGTTATCTGACCAGGAAACCCGACAAAGCCATCTGTACGGGCAGAGCCCAGAGAAACCAGGGAGGGTGTGGGGAGGGACGCGAACATGTGGCCTGTGCTGCACTGTCCTTGAGGTACAAGTCTGAGCCTGTGTTATGGCCACAGGTACCATTTGCCTCCTCCTCCTTCCGGAGAAGGCGTCCTTAGTGTCCTTGTATCCTGTGAAGGTGAGTGTGAGTATCCCTCCTGCTTTACAGATCAGAAAACCCAGGCTCCCGTCGAGCAGTGGCTATGGCAGGGGCACTGTACCTGTCGGGGCCTCATTCCGAGGCTGGACAGGTTACATGGTGCCAGCTACATGGTGGCAGTGATTTGCTATTCATAAGGAGCTACACTAGGTTTCGGGTTTAGGCTAATGAGGTGACAGGAGGGAGGCGCTTTTGCATGCCTTGGGGTGGGGTCAGTCACCAAAAGGGACAGGGCTGGTGATCTCTGGGTGGCCCCTGCTGAGCTCTGGGGTCTGGTGAGCCCCTCCATGGGGAGAGCACAGCACAGGCTCTGAGGGTCCAAGCCTGAGGCTTCTGGCCACTTGGGAGGAGGGGACGCGGACTGTGAGTGGCTGTCACATGTGCCCTGCCCCTGGCCAATGAACTGGGCCTCTTCCCACCATGGGATGCAGCAGATCAAAGTCCTCATTGTTTCTAAAGGGCTTTCACAAAGCTCAGAGAAGCTGGTCATTTGTGCAGGCTGCCCCGCCCCATCTGACCCCCCCATCTGATCCCAGCGCTGGGGACTTTGCCCCTCCCCAGCCCCTTCCCTCTCCTTAGGTGGTCATCCTGATGCTGGAGTGTCTGCAGGTTTGGATCAGCGAGCTTTGGAGAATGACCCTTCTGTTCCCAAACACACATCCTCGACCCTTTGTAAGAAACAGTAATTTTAAAAGACATGATTGAAAAGCCGGAGAAACCAGCCCCACCCCAGGAACATTCAGGAAACCTCCCGTGATGGAGTGCCCACAGTCACCCATGACAGCCAGCCAGGACAGCGGCGGTAAGCAACAGCGTGCCTAGCTTTACCCTGTGCCGTGTGGCGTGACCACACCAGCTGGAGAAAGGGACTTCTGTGCCTTCACAGATTCCCCCGTATTATCCTCTGGGAGAGAAATCCTACCACCTAAAGTTTAGTTTTGTTTGGAGAAGTCAGACTTGGAGTTGTGTGTGAAAAGAAAAATGATAGCAGCAGCTAACATTTATAGATCGCTCACCATGAGCCGGATCCGCTTGGAAACACCAGCTGCACTCGAATGTGTGCAATTCTTACAGTTGGCCCATTTTATTTATTTATTTATTTATTTATTTATTTATTTATTTATTTTTATGGAATCAGGGATTGAACTCAGGGCCTTGCGCTTGCCAGGCAAGCACTTATTCTACTGAGCCATCTCCCTGGCCATTTGGC